CGTAAAATATTAACATTTTTAGCTTAAGTGCACGTAATTTATGCATTTAAGAGTCGAATTTATTTAAACAAGGCAACTAAAATAAATTTTAATTTCTTCTCTCCGAATTCATTGGACTGGAGAATAAACATCTCTAAAGGAATAGTTTAATAACGTGCAGCGTTATGACAGGTTGAAAAATAATATTGTATTCACCCTTAAAATACTGTGTCCACATAAATATTAACCCGTATGGCTTTCACTGCTACTTATTCTAAGAGTTTAATTATCCAGGGGTTTCCTACATCTAGAAACATTAAATTATTGGATAACTTCTCTATCATCTTACATAACTTGTAATTGCGTTTCTCAGCTGGTCATGGTGAGCATCTGAGCAGTAATATATTTCATATTTTAATGTATATCACCACAAAACGAAAAACAAAGATTGAAACAAAGTAGAAAAAAATATATAGCCTAAAATACTTTCGTTTTGAGAGAGTTGGAAAGTATGTATTAAAATAAGACTTGCAGTTAGCCTAAAAGAAATCCATCCAATAGTAAGAGGTGACGTAGCTCTTTTTAGCCAAGAAACCAACTAGGTAACTAGCTATGGTTAACAAATATGATTGCTTGTGAACATGTATAATACTTAATCTTGCATAAGGTGTATTCAAATATTATATTTGACAATAGAACATAAAAAAAATGAACAAAGTATATACGAATGGTGTATGACAGTTTGTAAAATAAATAGAAATAATGAGTATATATAAATATATAGAAATAATGTTGCTTTGATACCGAATGTTTCTAAAGGAGCCTGAAATCTAGATGGATTTGGCATTGTTATATTGCAGTGTAAGCTCACAGCCGTCCCTAATTTTCAACTGACAGATAAGAGGGAAGGTAAGTAGTCAACAGGACACTCCACTAAATCCTTGTTTACTTTTGTCTGACCAAATACTGGGATTTTATCTTCAATTTTATAGTGCACCACAGCCCCAAAGAGCAAAGCAACGGGACGTGAACTATGAAGCTTTCGGATGGCTATGCTGAGATAGCCCTTTTGTGTAGCTTTTCGCAAAAATTCTGAAGCAAATAAATATCACTGAAGGTGGGGTGTAACAATCTTGATGAGTTGCAATTAGTTAGGAAAATATATTTATTAAATAGCTGTATACTAAAGTAAGTTTGAAAAATATAAGATCGTCACCCGAGTTTTTTCTCTTAAGTGTTTGAGTTATAAAACAACAGCGAAAAAAGTTTAGGAAACAATATATTAAAATTCATATTGTAATTACAAGATTCAGTAATTCTTGATCAGTACTTAAATACTATTAAGGATTTAACTGCAAATCCTTCATTGTACATTTAAATATCTTAAAACACTTGTTACATACCGTGTTTGAAGTATTACACTCTTCTGAAAAACTTGACTCTTTTGCTACTTGTTTTACATTAAGCTCATAGCAAAATAAATTAAAAACAACGTGTTGCAAACACGAATAAAAGGAATAAAATAAAATAAAACGCACTGTGAAGTTATAATTTAGAGCTTATAATGCTATATATATTATTTAAACACGGTTTTATTTGTTTTAGCGCAATTCTACACATTAGGCTACTTCAACTCTGTCCACAACGGAAAATCAAACACTTTAACTTACCGCCGACTCACCGATGGACTTTAAGCTTAGTAGAGAGAAAATTTGGTAGTAAACCCTAGGTTAGATACATAGAAAAGACAAGCTGAATGATATTTCGCTTTATCTATAATGTTTTATATATTAGCTTTGAAATTTTTAAAACTATCACCATTTGTTATTGATTTGTTGAAAAGTTGCTAAGTTTCGTTTGGTGAGTCAGTGAACACCAGAAAGAAGTTAGAGTATGTATATACAATTAGTATTTGAACAGTGAATGATAGTGACTGTGTAAGAATGTCCGCCACAGGACATGGTGAGTCAGTGAACACCAGAAATAAGTTAGAGTATGTATATACAATTAGTATTTGAACAGTGAATGATAGTGACTGTGTAAGAATGTCCGCCACAGGACAAAACATACATTTATTATGACAGCAACTTTTTAATCAGAAGAACTTGTAACTCTAGTTGGAAATACAAACGGTTAATCAAGACACACGGTGGTGTGTCGTGAGGCCGAAACAACCTGTAGAACAGACTGTGTGCTATTAACAGGAGTGGTAGTTTCAAGACACACGGTGCGTCGTGAGGCCGAAATAACCTGTAGGACAGACTGTGTGCTATTAACAGGAGTGGTAGTTTCAAGACACACGGTGTGTCGTGCGGCCAAAACGATCTGCAGGACACACCGTGTGCTATTAACAGGAGTGATAGTTTCAAGACACATGTAGTGTGTCGTGCGGCCAAAACGACCTGCAGGACCCGCTGTGCGTTATTAACAGGAGTGACAGTTTGGCGATTTTCAACTTCTTGTAGATAGACTGTGTTAATCCAAACTATCACGTATTTTCAGTGAACGTGCTCTACTGGACCCTTACTTCACTTACCAAATTTCAAGGTAATCCATTAGGAAATTCACGAGATATAAAATCTCCAATTTTGATTGAAATTTTTCCTTTTTTTTTTCTCACCGAAAGTACGAAACTTTAGTTGATAGAAAAAAATATACTTTTATGGATTTTTTTCAAATTCAGTACACTAATAAATATTTACAACCTACAATTACGTGTCACATTTGGTCTAAATATAAGCCACACTTGCAAAGTTATTCAACTAAAACCGCTCAAATTTGACCAAAGGTTTTGCGCACGCCCACGCAAAAAGTCGCGTGAGTTATTGGTCTAAAACGTTTAGTACAGATTTACCTAAGAGCAAAAGTGAACCGTTTTTAGTTTTTTATCATTCGCTTTAAAAACAACAGATTTAGAGCAGAAAAACTATAGGGTGAATGGACGTGCAGATACATTGTAGATGCACAAGTATTGGTTAGGCCAAGCAAACTACATTAGCAGTTTCTAGCTCAAGTTTTCAAAAGTGTCATACAGGTGTATGGTTGTTATTAATTATTCACCGTTTTACCCATCATCATGACCCAAGTTGAACAAAAAATACAGCCTGACTAACTAATGACTGAATATTTGATGTAAAATTCTTATCAATGCTGTAAGTGTAGCTACAGTTTGACCGCCAATTTTGATTTCATTCCTTTAAGTTGCACGCTTAATCCTTTTTTGGTCGCACTTTTTTTCACACTTAAAGTGTTTTTATTAGATTTAATTAGTATAGGTAAGGATAAGGTAAAAAACCAGAATATATCATAAATAAAAACAGTGAGTAAGAGTAATCAAAGTGGAATCCCACAGTAGGTTCTGGTGTATTTAACCTGTTCGTGTATGAGAGTAGTCCCCCAATAGGACAGCAGTAATTCTACGGACGTACAACACTAAAATCCGGGGTTCGATTCCCTGTGGTGGGCACAGCAGATAGTCCATTGTGGCTTTGCTCTTAAACAAACAAGCATTATAGCACCACATGAAGCCAGATTTTCCAGTGTAGTACCAGTTATATTGATCAAATATTCATTAAAATAACAAAATAATTTAGCTATCGTTCATACCACATTGAAAAAATCCGGGTCTCGTCTGATCCACGTAAATGTTGGACCTGGTTAGTATTTGGAAGGATGACCATCGTGGAGTACCAGGTGATGATGGCACTATTACTTGGCTACCCCCAGTGGCACAGCGATATGTCTGCGGACTTACAGTGCTAGAAACCGGCTTTCGATACCCGTGGTGGGTAGAGCAAAGAGAGTCCATTTTGTAGCTTTGTGCTTATCTTCAAACAACAAGAACAACAACAACAACAAAAAAACGGAACAAATTAATTTGATTTATTCAATCACGCATGAAGATATGAATAAAAAAATATAAGTAACAAAAGTGTTATTTTAAAATATTACACTGAAAGGTTACAAAATGCTTTGAATCATAAAGTTTCAATGTAATTATTATATATTTGAATAAAATACTTTTACGTATGTTACACGTACAGATTCTCGGGGTATGTGTATTTGTGTGCATCGTAATGCCACTAAACTATGGTGTTCACTTTAAAGAAAATAAAGGAAGTTAGGCTTGTTTTTGTATTTTTTTAATGTAGTGGAATACTAACTAAGGTACTGATATTTGTTACACCTTCTTTGTGAGTTAGAGTAACTTCGCTGTAAAACTTTAAACAAGTGTTTACTGTCGTGGTACTGATTTTTAGGCCTGTTGTGTCGTCATCAGATCTTACCTTATGGTGTTTCTTGTTTCCTTAACTCGTTCTCTCTCACTCACACACACACGCACACATATATGTAATTGGAAGTTGTACTTTGAAGCCTAAGTTTCATTTCAGTAGAATATTGGCTCTAGTCGTCACTATGATATAATACATACGTGTTTAAAGAAATAGCATCTATCTTTTTCATCAGTCATCCAGTTGGAAAGTTAAGGAACTGTTTTCCTGTACTTAATGGAGTTTCATATTTAAATATATTTTCATATACCGTATGAGTTAATTTCGAGCTGGAACGTTTTATTCGTTTGCTTCAGTGGTGCCCTCTTATGGAGTATATATTTATAGGAAATATGGTAATCGAACGATTTTGGAGCAGGCCAAAGATTGATTTTTATTTCAAGTTCTAAAATCGCTGTGCTCATGATTTTAGTTATCACCCAAGAAAACAATACAGGTGACGAGTGAAGAGAGTAATAAAATAAAATGACAAAATAATTTTTAAAACTACGTCAAACGGTTAAGCGTTTTTGAGGACCCTGAAAATTTTTCAGTAAAGTTTCGCTACCCATATGAATTTTTAAATATTTCCCATTGGTTAATCTATCTCATATATAATAATTTTTCTTTTGGTTAGAATATTTAAAAGTACTTTTTGTTTGTTTTTTCAAATAGTATTTGACGTACATAAGTCTTGTTTATTACCACCTGAGGGCGCTTATATCAGTCCTGAAAATTGTATATGACCAGCGGGCAAGATTGTAATATGCCATCACCGGTTGTGGTTTGGCGAATTTCAAACTTCCAGTCTTCTCAAGGGGGTTTACCATTGTAAGGTTTGGCTTCTTCTTTGTATGATTTACTCTATTTAAAAACAGTTTCTCCTGAAAACAGTTTATATATATTTCCCTGTACATTTAAAAATCGGTTTTATTTGTTCGGAGGAAGATAATCAGTGAATTTATATATTTTTCAACGTCTTACGAACTTTATAATTACAGTCGCGGAAGCACGTGGGTCGAGCCGAAGCGTCCCAGACGCACAGTTCTCACGATGACTAGGCCGTTAGTCATGGTCCTTCCGTTTCTGGTATTCCTTCTCCACTTTTCAGAAGATTCACATTACCTAGTCTACGGAAGAAAGCTTGTAGCTTTATATTGGAACACCTCCAACCCAACGTGAGTACATTTTGATGGTATTATATAAAAGGAACTCGACCTCGATAAGTGTTTTTTTACTAATACATGCACTATAAAAAGCAGTTTGCCTGAAACCACACGCTGATTTAAAAAAAAAAATCCTTTAAAAAAGGAACGGAAATCTGTAAACCAAAAAAAATATTTATAAACATAAAACTAAGTCGGATGTTTTGACTTTATCTGATGTATTCGTCAACACCTCGTTCATTAGACTCTCCTTAGTATTACTCTCTACTGTTACTATAAAAAAGCTTACGTTATCCTTTGAATAGTTAGTAGTGCTTTCTTATATTTAAAAACAAACAAAAAACATTGCTTGAAAGAGGTGTAAATGTTTCGTTTTTATTTAATTATCAGTTCTTATATTGTCAACAAGGTATGAGGAGATAATCAAACACGAGCCAAATACTTAAGTAAAGGTTCCTTAATTTACTGAAAACTCTGTAAATAATTCAAGGTGTTTGCACCTTTAGTTCTTGGGGCATTTGTAAACTGGGAAATATATTTTTTTTTATTAAAATGCAATTGTTTTAACATATTCCATTGAACAAAATAACAATCAGTGAAAATAATAGATTTTTAGAGCTTTAGTCTCCTCATCGTGAATGCTTTACATTACCAAAGACATCACTTGCAATTCAGGAACAGAATTTCTTTGTTGTATTTTTCTATCGGGCGACTTTATTAGATAACACTAAACAAAGTGTTAAAGTACGTCTTGTGGTGTGTTATTTGTTTGTTGGACCGGCGCAATAGTTTGATTTTTCTATTGTTATTAGTACTGATATTATAAGATGGTTTAGATACTTCCAACAACAGGTACGATAAATAGTAGTGTTATAATATGCTATAAGCACTTTCTACAACACGCGAGAAAAATATTGGTGTTATAAGTTAGTTTTGGCACTTCCGACAACAGGCATTAAAACTAAAAATACTCGTGTTATAAGTTGATTTTGGCACTTCCGACAACAGGCAGTAAAACTAAAAATTCTGTTGTTATAAGTTGATTTTGGCACTTCCGACAACAGGCAGTAAAACTAAAAATTCTGTTGTTATAAGTTGATTTTGGTACTTCTGACAATAGGCATTAAAACTAAAAATCCTGGTGTTATAAGTTGATTTTTGTACTTCTGACAATAGGCAAGAAACATAGTATTGATATTCTAAGATGTTTTACATACTTCCGACAACTGGTACGATAAATACCAGTATTGTAAGATGCTTTAAGTACTCCTTGTAACGGGTACGATAAATACCAGTATTGTAAGATGTTTTAAGTACTCCTTGTAACGGGTAAGATAGACACTAGTGTTGTAAGATGTTTTCGGTACTTCTTGTAACGGGTACGATAAATACTAGTGTTATAAGATTTTTAAATACTTCTTACAACTGGTACGATAGATACTAGTGTTGTAAGGTGTTTTCGGTACTTCTTGTAACGGGTACGATAAATACTAGTGTTATAAGATGTTTTAAATACTTCTTGCAACGGGTACAATAAATACTAGTGTTGCGGTACGATAGATACCAGTGTTGTAAGATGTTTTCGGTACTTCTGAAGTACCGAAAACATCTTACAACACTGGTATCTATCGTACCAGTTGTGTTGTAACGGGTACGATAAATGCTAGTGTTGTAAGATGTTTTAAGTACTTCTCACAATTGGTACGATAGATACCAGTGTTGTAAGATGTTTTCGGTACTTCTCACAACTGGTACGATTGATGCTTTAGGTACTTCCGACGTCTGATCAAATCAGAATAAGAAAAAAAATATATAGTTGTTATCAGTGTTAAATGAAAAAAAGTATTTATGCCAGTTTAGGCAGGTGTGCATGCAACGGAAATAATTATGTGCCAGTAGATGTTTAGCCAACCAAAACAAATGTCCGCATTTATAGCACAACGTTTTGTTTCTACTATTGTGTAAGAAAAGCTTAAAACACACATACTGGTATAAAATAAAGTATATTTTCTCAGTGTTTTATTAACTGTTAATTTAAAAAGTTATAGAATAGTTTATTCCTAGTATTCTGTAAAACATTAATTGTGAAACTTATTTTGTACTTTATCTAATAAATTAACACTCAAGGGGTTCTCTATTCTGTAAAACATTAATTGTGAAACTTATTTTGTACTTTATCTAATAAATTAACACTCAAGGGGTTCTCTATTCTGTAAAACATTAATTGTGAAACTTATTTTGTACTTTATCTAATAGATTAACACTCAAGGGGTTCTCTATTCTGTAAAACATTAATTGTGAAACTTATTTTGTACTTTATCTAATAGATTAACACTCAAGGGGTTCTCTATTCTGTAAAACATTAATTGTGAAACTTATTTTGTACTTTATTTAATAAATTAACACTCGAGGTGTTCTCAACACTTATTCAATCTCTAGCTTTCGATTACAACAGTTTTTAAAAAAGAAATCATTACTAAATATTGAGAGAAATGTATTGGTTTATACCTAGGATACCGACAAACGTTTTTTAGTGAATACAGTACAAAGAATGACTATATTTTAAGTTATGGTGTTAACATATTTGATAATAATTTTAGCACGTTTTCTATCAGACCTCTTGTCTTCAAATTAAATTTTAGCCGAGTTAGATGATGTTTGGGTAATGTGGAAAACATGCAAGTAACGGTGTCTTCTTTCAATTGTCATTAACAACCTTGTGAACTTTCAACTCAAGCAAGATTGTAAGTCATGCAAGCGTGCTCAGTGTAAACGGCTCTTGTTGAATACGTTTGTGTTTGACGTTAACTTCATGTTACTTTAGTTGTAGAAGTAAGATATGAAATAAGTAGTATTTGGAAGATAGGTAATTAGAAATTCCTTTATTGAAGAAAAATAATCCATATGCGATATTTAAGACTACAATTTTAGAAAAAAAAAGACGCACTTTGTATGTACTGTTTCTTTGGATATTAAACTTATTAATACACTTTGATCACAGAATACTGTTGTAGTTCCCACGTGCAACACCGCAAATTTAAAATAAATTATCAATGCTGTGTATATTTTGTGTAAAAAGTATTATTTGACTTTGATTATAGTGTTATTAGTTATAGAAAATATCTATTTATATTGATAATAATGCAACTAAAAATATGATGGCTTCAAACGTAGTAAAATAATAAATGTGAACATATATAATAGTTCGATGATTTGCTTCATTATAAGTATGCCACAGTTTCGGAGATGAGTTAAGGTGAGTTTGTTTGAATTTAGCGTAAAGCTGCTCGAAGGTAATCTGCGTTAGCCGTAGTAAAATAATAAATGTGAACATATATAATAGTTCGATGATTTGCTTCATTATAAGTATGCCACAGTTTCGGAGATGAGTTAGGTTAGTTTGTTTGAATTTAGCGTAAAGCTGCTCGAAGGCAATCTGCGTTAGCCGTTCCTAATTTAAAAGTGATAGACTGGAGGGAGGGAAGCTAGTCAACACCACCCACTGCCAACTCTTTACCAACGATTAACTGTCATAATTTAACGCCCCACGACTGAAAGGGCGAATATGTTCGGTAACGGGATTCGAACTCGCTACCCCCAGATTACAAGAAGCGAGCGAGAAGTTAGATTTTTATAAAACCGATTCTTCTAAAGATTGTAAGTAAATTATAAGAATGTACTTAAGAATTTCTATTAAAAATTTGTATTTTACTTTAAATGTAAAAAAAAATTGGGCTATGTCTTCATGTTTGGAGCTTTACGTATTTACCGTTATATCATTAGGGCTTCTGATTTTTAGTCTTAAACGATAAACAACTCTGACAGAAAAAAACAAAACAAATCTGTGTTTTTCCAATAAACACCGGAAATGGTTATTCAGTTTACTGGACATACAAAACCCTAGCTACTTTTATAACTACATCACCTTGGAATATTACTCTAAAGGAAAAGGAACACATTTCGTGCTTCAGTGGTAAGTTTCTTTTTATAATGTCATGTAGAATATTAACTGCTCTCACAATGCTTGAACATAAACAGAACTATGCATTGTACCTGTTATTACTCCCGTAACAGAAATTAGTTTGTAGAGAATATACAGTATTACAAGTGAAAACTACGAAAAACACTGATTTTAAGATATCTAAATAAAACTATAAAACAGATAAACGTAAACACTGCCAAAGGTAGCTTTGCAAACTTCAAAACATTACAGTCCTAACTATGAAATGCCATTTTCTATAAATGATGACTTGGTAACGGACTTTTCACACACACACACACACACACACACACACTGTATTTGAAAAACAACGTTTATCTATGTGATCTCCTCACCAATATAAGCCTAGAAGAGCCTATTAACAATGTATGTGGTTATCTATTTTCTAAACAGTTTTTTTTGAATTATTGAAGGTCAATTATATAGTTTTTTAGACTTGTTCATTTGAACTCTAACAGCGATTTGTAAACTTTGTAGAAGTTTTCAGAGAGATATACATTTTTTTATCGAAAGTTCCTTGTTAATGATATGGTTTTTTAACTTGTAGAAACTAGACTTGTTCATATGAACTCTAACAGCGATTTGTAAACTTTGTAGAAGTTTTCAGGCAGATATACATTTTTTATCGAAAGTTCCTTGTTAATGATATGGTTTTTTTAACTTGTAGAAACTAGACTTGTTCATTTGAACTCTAACAGCGATTTGTAAACTTTGTAGAAGTTTTCAGGCAGATATACATTTTTTATCGAAAGTTCCTTGTTAATGATATGGTTTTTTAACTTGTAGAAACCTCTTTATATCCATTTGCAAAAACTCTTTATGGGATTTTCCACCTGGAGACCAAAATATATTTTACGATAAAAATGAGCCGGTTGTGGGCCTGGAGGTTAACGTGCCCGGGCTGTGAATCCGAGGGTTTGTGGCTCGCGTTTGTTGCAGCAAAAACGCGCTCAGTATGTCATTTGAGGCCGTGTGTGTGTGTGTGTGTGTGTGATAATAGTTGATCAAATTC